GGAATTCAATGTTATACCTCCACCAGCTCTCTACAAATTCTGCATTTGTTACATATTTATATTCTGAGACATATCCACCTATATACACACTCGATAAAACATTCAGAATTTTCAAACTTCGCAGCTTAATGCCGTTTCGCCGTTGTGGGCCTGTCATAATGATGTGAACATGGTCAATAATGATTGAAGACTGAGGCCTGAGTTTTGGCAACAGGATTGCTTACCTTCATAGACTTGAATCAAGTAAATAAAGTATTGAATCAAAATGTGGCTTCTTCAATTAGAGGAATTATTAATATCATCAAGTTCATCAAGTTGAAGATATTATATTCCTTTCATTTGAAAAAATTGATATTCATATCTTTGAATCAAGTCAATATGGCATAGAATAAAACTATCAGGAATCTTCGATTTGAAGAAATTATAATACCAATATGATGAAATTAGAATGCTTCATTTGAAGAAATAATTATTTATATTTTTGTTTCAAGAAAATGGCGTATTGCCTCAACATATTAGGTTTTTGCAATTCAAGAAAACTGAATATGTCATTCGATGAAATGGACATTCTTTGATTTGAAGAAATGTATACTTATATTCTTGGATCAAGCAATAAATATATTGAAACAAAATAGTACGCTTCTGCGAATTGAAAAATCGTTTTGATTGAGTTGAAGTAATTAATTTATTAATTCAATGATCACATTCTTGGTTTGAGAATATATTTCAATAATATGACACTATTTTCTTGAACATACCAGATTTCTCGACTCAAAAGATGCTCAATTCGAAGAAGATATACAATTGAATTTTCAAGAGAATGGGTTTTCTTATTCGTAGAAATTTTTTTTCTGTGTGTCGAAATGCTATAGTCATTCGGTCTCATATGATTTTTTTTTTGCAATAATCGCCTTGATAATATAGGGAAAAGAGAAATTTGCTGGCACCTATTCATTTCAGGAATCTTTTAAAGGTTATACAATCTCGTATAACAGCTAAAAGTTATATTTCTCGATGTGGAACCTTTGGCCATAATATGATCAACTACACTGGTTTACTCGCTGGTTTTACCACCAAACAAACCGATTTTTCAAACGCTTCGATACGTCTTTCTCTAACTATGTGAGCATCTTCAGGAGAAGATTGAAACTCAGTTCGGTAGGGTTATAGTGGTAAAACAGTGCTGTATAGAGGACATTGATACATGATGGTGGCACAGTTTCATACGGAGTAATTTTCAATTTGATGACCAGTGGCAGTCAGTCAGGTGTTATCGGATTATCAAAATTAAGTTTATATCCAGTTGAAAATGAAAATCTCAACTCTTTTCTGATGCAATTTTATCTCTCCTGGTCATATGATCATATCAAATCCGTATACATATAGGAATAGTTGGATTCTGAGAATCACTTGGGATCGACATGGTGGCTTGAAAAAATTATGATCAATCAATATATCCTAACCACATAACTCTAAATAATACAGAAATCAACTGCGATCTAAATACTAAATTGCTTGGTGTTATTTTAGAAAGTAACCTGGAGTGATATGGACATGTAGATAGTTTGTGTTCGAAGCTAGCTAGGATATGCTATGCCCTTTTCATTTCATCACAACAATGTAGTAGAGAAATAATTAAACAATTGTATTTCGGATGCTTCCACTCCAATTTAAAATATGGAATCATGCATTGAGCGAATTCCGCAGAAGCTCATAGGGCCTTCACCTTACAAAAAAGGGCAGTCCGTATCTTGGGAAATCTGCATGAGAGCAAGAGATTCATGCCATTTATGAATTAACCTGTTTTGTATGTAATCATAAACGTTATTTTGAGACTGAAAAAGTCGAACATAATCACAATACAAGGAACAAAGATTATCTGTTGCCTCCTCAACACTCATCTCCTCGGTATCAGAAAAGTTTATATTACAATGGATGTAAATTATACATTTGCCTGCCAAAATCCATACAAGAATCAAAAAATAAATTCCAATTCAAGAATAAAATGAAAAACTTGCTCCTGAAAAAATCCTATTACACCCTGGATGGATTCTTCTGTGATCCAATCATCGCTAACTGATGAATAATGTTTTCGAGTAGACGTTTATACAGGGTGTCCGGAAATTATGCGCAAAAAATCAAGAGGGTGATTCTGCATGAGAAAACTCGAAATTTATTTCATATATACTTGAGTCCGGAAATGCATAGTTTTCAAGATACAGTGTGTTAAACTTTTTAGAAAAAATCGTTTTTTATGAATATCTCGAATATTCTTTCACCAATTCTCTTGAAATTTGGTTATGATATTCTTTGTCATGAGGGGCTGATTTAGCAATTTTTAAGTTAGAATTGTGAAATCCAGTGGCGTCCTGGGGGCACCCTACCGAATATTTTTGTCAATAAAATGTGCGCCCCTGATTTTTTTAAATTCTCTATCTCCATATCCTGATGATTAACTAAAAATACAACATTTAAGTCTCTTGAATTGTTTTGCAATTTTGCTGCGTTTCCGTGGAAAAAAATAAATACCAATTCATTGTATAAATTTGTGCAAAACATTGCTTCACAAACAGGGGTGGAATTAAATGTAATATCCATGTCCATAGACGTAGAACAAGAATTAAGATTCATTCATTAAGATTCAATATACAGAGTGTAGAGTGTGTCAAACATGTATCAAGAAATATTTGAAGGAAACTTATTCTATGTCTATGGACATTAATGCTGCATTTATTTTCACCTCAGTTTTTGAAGGAATTTTTTGGCACAAACTTATGTAATAAATTGGTAATAATTTTTTCCATGGAAATGAAGCAAATTATCAGAATAATTTAGGAGATCAAAATGTTGTATTTTTAGTTGGTAATAGGTTATGAAGATAAAGAATTCAAAAAAATCAGTGGCGCACATTTTATTGACAATAATATTCGGTAGGTTGCCCCCCGGGACGCCACTGGATCTCATAATTCCAATTGAATTATGGCTATATCAGCCCCTCATGACAAAGAATATCATTGCCAAATTTCAAGAAAATTGGTAGGAGGACATTTGAGATATTCATAAAAAACCGATCTTATTTAAAATTTTTAACACACTGTATGTTGAAAACTATGCATTTCCGGACCGACGTACATATAAAAAGAATTTCTTATTTCATCATGTAGAATCACCCCCTTGATTTTTTGCTCATAATTTCCGGACACCCTGTATACTTTTTATGTTTATGTACAGGGTGATTCACCATAAATGTCCCCCCCTCTAGCTCAGTTATTTCTGAACCGATTTTAAAATTTGAAATATCATCTTGAATGATTTTCGATAAAGTTTTTTTCCGCTAGATCAGAAAATACAGGGTGCTCGGAATAAACGATCTACAGATTTTTAACTTTAGGATTTTTTTGTGACGAAAATATTCATTATCGGTCACGCGGTTTTCATGTCCGTATCTTTACTTTTGATTTACTATCTACTGACATTTAATAATTGGAACAGATACAGGGTGACCAGAATCTGACTGAATCTTGAACCACCCTGTAAATGTTCCAATTAAATTTCACTAGATAGTAAATCAAAAGTCGAAATGGTAACATAGGAGCCGTTTTGACCAATAATGAATAGTTTCAGCACAAAAAAATCCTAAAGTTGGAAAATCTCGATTTTAAACACCCTATATCTCTATAATCATTTCCGCTAAACCCCAAGTGTGATACATTGATGAAATCAGCTCTTCAGGAAGAATCTAAAAATACAATAAAATACAGGGTGTTCCATTTCAAAAAATCAATTACTACTCTGTAGATCGTTTGTTCCGAGCACCCTGTATTTTCTGATGCAACGGGGAAAAAATTTCTGAAAAATCATTTTAGATTATCTTTCAAATTTTTAAAACGGTTCAAAAATAAGTGAGCTAGAGGGGGGACATTTATGGTGAATCACCCTGTACCTGTGAAATCTTGTATATTATTATGTTTGTTTTATACCTACGATATTTATTCATTTATGTACTTTAGCCTAATTTTGACGTTTTTTTTTAAACTGTATGTTTTTGAAACAAATAAATCTATCAATCTATCTATCTATCATTCACCTCTGTACTGTTTTTTGATAGTTTTACGATGAATTTATGTTCATCATACAGGGCGTGGAAAAATGCTGAATTGAGAAAACCAAATTTCCAACGCTTATGTTTGAACCCCTTGATTGGGTATGCAAATTTTGAAAAGGAACATTCGCAGATATAAACTGATCAAAAGAGTTGAGAATTCGTTTTGCTATGTTTTCTGATGCATATACCACGAAAACAATTCATATTATTGATAGATAGAGAATGCCAATTCTGAAATTATTTCTTTATATGTACGTTTTCAGCATAACTAAGTCGTGCCTACAAGTTTTGTATGGTGTAAACATGCCCATGATGGTCCAGATTTCATTGAAAAGTATTACACGTACACATTTGCGCGTTACTGACAAAAATAGTTTGAATTTTGACACTACCTGTCAAAATCGATAAGAAGATCAATAAAGATTGAAAAGCTCGACCCAAAATAGCCTGATGTACGACTTGTTTATGCAAACAAAAGTACCTATCCATCTTTTTATATCCATAATATATCTCAAAGAATTTCTCTTTTCTACTCTGTATAACTACTGAATATATTTCATTCTGTATCTTTCTTTCACCTGTGTCACCAATGGTTATTATAGTGAAGAACATGTTTTTTCAGCCATTTAAAGCAGCTCATCAGTAAAACGGTAACGATGAAGGTCCTCTCGAGGAAAAAAATCAAGTAAAAGGTTTCTCTGCGGTTTCATTTGTTTTGGGGGGTGCTGAATCTGTATCTGAAGTTTGCAAACAAAATTTCCTGAAGCGTTCTGAGATAATCGCGAAAAACAGCGAATTGCTCGCACTTTTTCCAGTTTTTTGATCGTTACTTGGCAAATATACATTGTAGCGAAAATACCATCCAATGAGAAGTTGAAGAAGATGTGATCTTTTATGTTATTCTTAAACGGAGGAAAACAGAATCAAGTTCCTCTCAGACCACCAGATAGAGGATGAGAGTACCCTGGAGCGAACACAATCTGTTCCACCTGCATACCATCACCATCTCCAGAACCGGATCCTTCAGGGTACCAGCCTCCCCGTCAAACGACGTAGCGTATGGGTTGTTTCATATCACTGTCAAACTATGGATAGCTCTCATATCACTTACTTAGTGAAACACAATTACAATCAAACAAATATAATTTCATTCTTGAAAAAAGAGAGACACGTCATGCAAATGAATAGTAAGTTATTGGTTCTTAGAATATAATTCATTTATGGACTATGATAGGTACTCTATGAAAGTTTATATTAATGAAAAAAAAAAACTGAAGAATTACGTTGACTTGAAAAATACATCGAAGAATGACATTCGGCAGCTATTTGCTTAGTGTCTGCGACCAGCATGATGAACATTCGGAACATCCCGGTATGGTCCTCCGCATGGTTGTGAAGATCCATAATCTTGAGCACGGCTGGGGTCCAAATGGTGACCTCCTGTTCCAGTTGCCACTGCGCATGCGAAGACTAGGGCCAAGGTCATGACCTGATGAAAGAGAAATAATCATATACATCGGGTCGAATCTGTTTCCAAATAGCAATATAGTTATAGAGAAGATATTGCTATCACAGCAAGATTCGAGAAAGTGGAATTCTAATCATAGATTTTTGGCAATATGATCTGTCAATTTCATTGACATCTTGTGAGCTTTCTTGCTATTTCTGCAACATCAATTTTGTGCTTGCTTTCCCATAACAAGGTTGTGAAAATTGCAGTGGATTCTTTGTTTTTATACTACAATTTCTTTCAAGTGTTTGAAAATTTAGAAAATAGAAAGTTCACTTCTGTAACTAACTACTTGAAAACCTTTCCCTAAAGTTTGAGTTTGAAGATGAATTATGAGACTACGATTTTGGCATATCACTAGAGATGCCAGCAATCCATTTGACTTGCCTGATGGAAAGTTTATCAAGCTTTTTTACTTTAATACGCCAGCAACGTGATTTTGAAGTTAAATAATAAACTCTTCGTCTTCATAAAATAATGGTAATTACGATACCTAACACTTAACAACCATTTTCTTCCGCGTGTGGAGTTTGATGTACGACGCGTAGCGGAGGGCCATTCGATAGTACACGTCGAGCTTTATCATTGTTTGAAATATTTGCACATATTTCAATGCATCCTGTATATATATATATAGATATAGAAGAAATGGAAGTCGTTGCTGACACGTTAGAGATAAAACTAGCTTGCTAGTGGGGATTGCAGCAAAGTGAAGGTGAACTCATTACAGTTTGTCCGAGCTTTCGGAAATGTATATTTCCATCTTGGTGGCCAGGTAGCCGTGCGAACAGAGTGTCTATATTCTAATTCGCATTCGCTTGCCGGTCGTGGGTTCGATCCCCGTCGACTGCAGAAATTTTTCTGATGGCCCAAGAAAGTGTTTGGGATCACACGTTAAAAGGTAAGGCCCCCGTCATTCCTTGCTCGCACAAGACTTTCGAAGACTTTTGAGGGTTGCTCGTAAGGGGGCAACCGAATGACAGATAGAACAAATTTTAGAACAAAAAAAAAAAAAAATCTTCAGGGGCTACCACAATAGATTTTTTATGTGTAGAATGACAGCATGACATGAGATGACATTTGAACATTTCATTATATTGCTGTCATTGTACACATAAACAATCTATTGTAGTAGACCCTGAAGATGGAAATATACATTTCCGAAAGCTCGGACAAACTGTAATGAGTTCACCTTCACTTTGCTGCAATCCCCACTAGCAAGCTAGTTTTATATATATATATATATATATATATAACCAGTGTATATTGGGGGTAGCAGCAGTGTAAAAGGAATTCTCTTTAAAGTTTATCCAAGCTTTCGGAAATGTTTATTTCCATCATCAGGAATACTACAATGATTGAGGAGTGTAAATACATTGGGAAACACTATGGCCATGCCTTGTACTTACATCTTTGGTGAGGTTGGTTAAAACGTTGTTAGATATATGAAATTGTAAAAGATAGGGTGACATATTGTGTAAAATTTTTCACGTGGACACATAGGAGACTAACATTTGTACAATTGAACTCAACAGTTACTTATTCTTTGTGAATTTAAAATTTTGAAATTTGGTGAAAAAAAAAGTTGCAAGTCACATTTTCACATTCTTATAATTCTTCGAATTCTTTCAGGTCAGGAATGTCTGTTTCTTTCTTTTCACAAAATAGAGGATTTTGTGTTCATTCCTTTGAAAAACTCTTTAATGGGACGCATGATCACTTTGTCTCTCACCTTGAATAGTTAATACCTAGAGATTTATTGCTATAATGTATTGAGAAACTCATAAAATAAATTAAAGCAGTGTAATATTCTATATTCATTTGTTGATGAAAAGATGTGAAAAGTGAACACAAATATCAAAATGTAGGGTAATATATCTAATTGCAATTTTGGAATCCTTACCATCAATAGTACTTTGAACACCATGATCACAATAGTATAACTGAATGAAAATAAACTGAAGACTATATGACCCGAGTGGTTATGAAAGAATGGTCATTTATACATAGAAAACAAGATTTTATTGAATAACCAGATCATTATTTGCATGCTAAACTGAACAGATTTCTTGTTCTTGGAAAAACAGTCATTATATATCAAACAGAATAATGAGATTGCTGAATCAAGTATGTAAATCTTGTACCAGGGGCGTCATTTCAGTGTATATCAGGGGGACAAAGAACCAAGAAAATATTAAGGCACCTACCTATACACTGTGTCCGTAAAGTATGGAACAAATTCGATATTTCCTAAACTAAAAGCCTTTTCAAAAATATCTGAAACACGTCAACTACATTTTCGAGGGGGACATCGTTCTAAAATATTTTCAGCCCTGCGGCGTTGCCGCTTCTAACGAAAAGAAGCAACAACTTTGTTATTCCAAATGGAACAGCTTGTATTTTATTGCATTTTTAGATTCTCCCCGAAGAGCTGATTTCATCAATGCATCACACTTGGGGTCTAGCTGTAATGGTTTCAGGGATATAAACTGTTCAAAATCGAGATTTTTCAACTTTAACATTATTTTGTGTCGAAACTATTCATTATTGGTCAAAACGGCTTTCATGTCCCTATCTCAACTTGTGATTTACTATCTACTAACATTTAATTGGAACAGATACAGGGTGATCAGAATTCTGAATCTTGAACCACAACCACAACTACTTCCCTGGCATTAGCCAGGGAAGTAGTTGTTTTTCTCCCGAAATCTACCATTGTTGTTCATTTTATGAACACTGTGTGGATATGACTTTGAGCTTTTTGCATTTATTTAACATTTCATTCCACTTTGAGCATTGTGGCTATTTCGTAGTTGATTTATTGATATTCTTCTCTATTTCTTTTAACGCTGACTTTCACTTTATGGAACAGATTTTGTAAAATGAAGACATGTATACACCAAGAGGAATATCTATGAGCTCACTATGCTCAAGTTCATCATTTCAAAAAAATTATATGTATAACTTTGAATCAATATTTATGTGAAAATGGAATAACGCTCAGTCTGTTACTCATTACTTCCTTATCTCCAGGTATATATCTTTGTGTTTCATTAATATCTACAGAAAAATTCTATGTGAATCAATTATCAAAAAAAAAAAATAAGGAGAAAAGGCTGCCCCCTTAATTGACGCCCATGTCTTCTACCTCAACGATGATATTATTAAGTTAGTAAGGAATAACAGAATGAATAATGAATGGTTTGGTGGTACTTTTACATATTTGTTCATTCTGAAGGCGAATCCAATAGCTATACAGGGTTTTCCTTGATGTTATGTGCATATTGAAATTAATTACTATCTGGCTAATTTGAGGACCGCATCAAGTTCAAGTTAGAAATATCAACTGACCTTTTTCATCAACCAGTTTGAGCATTCATAATTGCCAAATTCATTCTGATTAGCGACTGGCGAATTCCTGCAGTATTTCAAATTTATACTGATCTCAATGATCGTCGTGAACTGTCTTGAGTGCATCTTCATCAAAATCAGGGGTCGAATCAGTTTTAGTTTTTTTGCGTCCAATAAACATAATCGAGCGAAAGGTACATTTCATTACATTTATTATCAGTTCACTAGGTATACATTTCTTATTATTTATATATCGATTTTATTTTAGAGTAGGAATAGGCAGCACTCACTCAAAGTAACCAAATACTTGTTTCGTGACTGCAGGCCCCTCCCTACTCCACAAACTGTATTTTTTTTTTCAAAAACAGCAAGTAGAGTATTTACAATTTGATCAATATTTTGAATGAGTGAAATTACATATTAATATGATAACTTCAATGGCGGATTATCAGATAATGAATATATGAATATATAATCATATTTATATATATACATATGTGTGTCCATAGGAATATTTAGATTCTATTTATAGGATGTAAAAATATCTAGAAAAGAATATCAAGAATATCTGGATGATTTAAAATATGAGATTTTATTTGAGTTTTGTATTTTTTGTAAGCTTTAATTTGTTTCAGATTAGTCGGAAGGAGGTTATATATTCTCGTTGCATAATAGAAAAAGGAATTTTTTGTGACTGCCTTTTTGAAGACTTCAGTTCTTATATTCAAATTGGTTGCGGATCTATTTCCTATATATGTCCCCGGTATTTTTCGCTGTTCATGAAAGAGACGAAGTAAACACTGATTAGCATACATTCCTTGAATATTCAAGATTTTTGTTTCTTTATATAGTAAGTCAGTGGGAAACAACCTGGCTTTGTTGAAAATCACTTTTAAAAGCTTATTTTGTGCTGTTTGCAGAGTGCTGAGTGTTGTTCTATAAGCCCCTCCCCAAGCTGTTATGCAATACCTTATTATAGAGTCTGCAAGTGAATTATAAAGTATTGTTAAATTTTTTTTTGTTAGAATATCTCGAAGTTCATAAAATTTATGCATTAGCACTCTTATTCTTTTTGCTACATATGTTATATGTTCTGTCCATTTTAAGTGTTGGTCTACTACGACTCCAAGATATTTTATGCAGCTGGTTTTTTCTAAGTAACTGCATTTACAATTATGGGGTTTAGAACAGTAGCCATTGTGTAATTTCATTTGATCTAGGTTATTGGGTTGGTCTACTATTGTAGGAGAAAAGGTAATATATTAAGTTTTTTTAATATTGAGTGTCAGCAAATTATTATTGAGCCACAAGTACAGTTTTTGTAGATCGTTTTCAGCATTTTGTTTCACCTGTTCCCAACTTCTTTCGGAAAATATAAGGGCTGTATCATCAGCATAACAAACTAGATGACCTTCGAAATTGTTGATTTTAGTGATACTGTTCATATAGATCAAGAACAAAATTGGTCCAAGTACTGTGCCTTGTGGTACCCCTGTTTTTATAATATTGATAGAGCTGTAGGAGTTTCCTATTTTAACCTTCTGTGTTCTATCTGTTAAATAATTTTTCATGAGTTCTAGAGCTGCACCTCTGATGCCATAATTGTTAAGTTTATCCATTAAATGTTCATGTTCGACGGTATCGAACGCCTTGGCCAGATCCAAAAAAACTGCAATGCATCTTGATGAATCGTCCAAGGCCTTCGTTGTAGTTCTTAAAAAATCAATTAAGGCAGTTTCGGTGTTGGAGTTTTTTATAAAGCCAAACTGCCTGTCTGTTATAACATTATGTTTATTTAAAAAGGATATAATTCTCGATTTTAACGATTGTTCAAAAATTTTTGAGAAATTATTGATAATAGATATAGGTCTGTAATTATCTACTCTTGAAGGATCTCCCGATTTCAGAATAGGTGTTATGATTGACTCTTTCCATTGTTTGGGAATTCTTCCGTGGGTAAAACATAGATTTATTATATGTATTAATGGTCGGACAAGATGAATGTGAATGTATTTTATTGTTTCAGTGGTGATTTTGTCCGGCCCGGGTGAGCAGTTCATTTTTAGATTTGATATATAAGTAATTAGTTCTTCTTTGGTTAAAGGTTCAAGAAATATCGTATGATCAACTACAACAATAATTGACAATGAAAAACTTATAAAATTGAACGTTTATCTGTATTCCAGCATGATTTTGTGAATTTGTTCATGGGAACTTATCTTTAGAGCAAATAACAGAATAGTAACACCTGACGGTCCTATTAGAATTGTCATCAGATGACTAATAACGACCTTTTTATTTGTTCTATGGGATGAATTTCCCTCGAGGGTTTTCAAGTGAATCACGAAAAAAAAACTTTGATAACATCTAGTAGAATTTGCATACTACCAAGTAAAAATTTGCATACTATATCGGACAAGTACTCGCTTCATTAGCCACAAGAAAAATGATATTTCTGAATCTGATCTTGTTGGAATTGATGTAATTTCAGGAACACATGTAACCTACTGATATTAAACGCTTTATTAGAGACAGAATATTTGTTTTATTGGCCTCAGTGTTCTTTCTACTTGCAGTTATACAACGAAAATATTAGCTAGGCGTTCAGTACGATAAGTACAAGTGACTTGCTTCACTTGGCCTCATCGAATGACTCACTTGTGGGTAGTGTATTTCTTACTTCAGTTATACAACAACATTATTGGCTATAGGTGTTTTTTTTTGATAACTACAATTGTTTGCTCCACTTGGCCTCATCGAATGACTCACTTGTGGGTAGTTAATTATGTCTTACCTTGGATAACTTTCATCCCATCTTTTATATCAGAATACACCAGACTCAATCTTCTTTCTCTCACTCCCAATTCACTTGGCCTTCGAACAAGGATCGTTTGTAATGTATCATGCTTTTTTTTTACATTACATTCTTGTTTCATAATGAAATGAATGGTTCAATGTCACCAATGTCAGTTCATATCTTGCAAATTTTATGTGAGTGATACTTAATAATAGGAATCCGAGTGTACCATGTTCCTGTTTGAAATCACAATTGATGGCACTGTTGCTACTACAGAACTCTGTTTTTTTTTTTGTTGCAATTGCATTACCTCGTTGGTCCCAGCACTGGGACCAAACGCCCCATAAGTCGAAACTTGTGCGGGGTTAGGTAAGTATACAAACATCCATGTCTAGTCTGAATTCATTATAGATGAATTGATAAACAGGCAAGCACTGACATTCATCGTATATTATCACAAACTTGAGTTATTCGTATAACATGAAGAACGTTCTGAGAGAACAAAAAAAATTAAAATTCGTTGAGGAAAACAGGGAATGAAAATTATATACATTTTCACCATTTTTGATTGAACAAAATTCCTACTTCATAATGTCAATTCATTCTACATATTATAAGCAGAATACCTAAAGGAGTTTCATTTTATAGTTTCATTTTATATCTTACCACCCTGAATAGCCTGATTATTGACTTATTATTAACTTTCGTTCTACACAGCGACAACAATTTTCAGAGAAAAAAACAAGTCGAATCAAATAGATAAACATCACTATTGATTGTCCAACTCTCGGCCACCCCCTCTAGGAATTCTAAATGGCACCCCCTATAATACCTCTCGTGGTTATTAGCCGGTACTTCCTCAGCGTATATGATAAATACAACACCAAACATTATTTTCCGATTTCGA